ATCGGGATCCACCAATCACAGCTACGGTCCTTTGATGTTGCTTCGCTGCCTCTCTTTAGCAAATTTTATATTGCTAGTCTCCATAAATTGAAATTTTGTATGGGTTAAATAAATGGAATTCAAGGATAACTGAAGACAAAATATGTGCTTATAGTCTATTTGATAAAACTTAATGATAAATTACTGTTGTGTTCTACAAAAAAAGGACTAAAATTGTGGCAAAATCAGTTATTTAAAAATTAATCAAATTGTTTTGATAAAATTTTCATGGAACCAATTGGTAATTATATCCTTTTAGATAAAAAAAAATCCAAACCGGTTTATAACTGATGGAGTTATAAGGCATTAGGCAGGCAAAAAATATAACCGAATTGAGAACTTCTTTTTTTGAAATCGGTTGAAAATGACAAACAAATAATTATACGATAATCTGTGGATGTTCAATATTAGTACAAATTAAAAATCGATTAATCGATTGAATGTTTAGATTTTGTTCTCATTTTCATTTAAAGGGGGTTTTTATGATAATATCAACAAGCTATGTTACTCTTTAATTAAGTTCTATTGAAACAGACTAGTTACGATAATTTTAATGGAATATTGAAGAAAGTTTATTTTATTTATTTATTATAGAAAAACTAATAGCAGTTTATTCTTATTTATTAAATTACCTATGTACTCGTATTAATATAATATTATTGTATTAGTGATACCAATATGAACTAACGATTTATATTTATGATTCATCTGTCAGTAATAAATATAAATTGTAAAAAAGGCTCATTACCAGAACGATCCATTATCGTCCTACTGCTAGACATGTATCTCTTCTCATTAATAGGGGATATTGCCACGTTGATCAGAGGGTTCGATGTAAGGTTTCATTCAATTTTTTTCTTCACGTTACTTCTTTTACAATTCTCTATGTATTATGTTGATTTTCTTAAAATGGCTCATACGATATCCTGTATAGGATTGGATGGAGTGGTAAATGATGCAAGAAGAGCAGTAGCTCTCAGATTAGCACATGATTATAATGTAAATGTGTTATTATTATGATAATTACAATGTTATTGTAGTATATATGGTCTTTATTATCTAATTTGTATGATGTATTTGTAATGCACACCAACTACTTAATCTGAAAACTTGAAATTTTATATGAATACATCCCATGAGTATTTCAGGAAATCCTTTCTTAATGGATTTAATAAAGGAAAGAAAGGTTTCCTTGTAAATACCCAAGAGAACAGGAGGTTTTGAGTTCCGCGAAGTTTCTCGTCATTGCTTCAAATATTATAAAGCAAAATAAATATCTATTTATTTATATAGTATTTATGGAGGTAAAATAATAAAATGCATGAACTGATACTACCCATTTCGTAGCGTAATTAAAAACGCGGGTATGTTATAAAATATGGCATTTGGTCACTATCTTTTGGGTTCGACTCCTGTTAGAAGACTTTTTTAATAATGTTTGTATATTAAGGTTTCCAAATGCGGTATAATTTAAACTGTTTACTTCCTTTAAGGATATTACACTGTTTCTGAGTTTTTTCTTACCTATATTTATACACCAATATAAATTAATGCAAGTACTTTGACTTGATAACTTTTCGAATAGGTAGTCAGAAGTCTCGGAACTGTGATAATTCTATTGAGATCACGCACGTGTCTCACGCAACCAAAGGACCAATTTGGGCTCTATCTTAAACTTGTGCGTACCTGCTCATTGTCTTGTAAATTAAAGGGACACGGAATTCAATTTCTGAAGGTTTTGGCTTTTAGTAGTTTTATTTCTGACATGGTTTTGGATATGAAACAACTATAAGTAATCCTGTTAGGATCTGAATGCGAAATTTTATAGGGATGGTTGGATGTTTGTTTACACTTATACACAAAATGGAATAGATTTTGAATGAAAGTACACGGGTAGGTATATATTGACTTAGTACATAGGTTACTTAATGTATTGATTGTCGTAGGCGAAACTGCAGGATACTGCTAGTATTACATATATTTGAAAATATCTTTAATTCAGGGTTGTATTTGGGAATTCTATAATAAAGAATTAAAGATTCTTTAGCTAACTTTACATAGATTTTGAGTATTTATAACAAGTAATGTCTATATTAGTTTCTAATAACTTACTCCCGTGTTTTCTCTCAACATATATACTGAAAACGGTATGTTTTTCGTAAAATAAATCTTAAATTATAAGAAGCTAAATGAAAAATCTTTTCAGTAATAATGAACGTACTTTTATACTTACTACGTGCATTCGTGGAATCAGCCCAATGATTACAACAAAATTTCTTATTTTGTGCCTTCATATAAGAGATTTTATCAAAATCATGGCTTTTTGGTAAATCGCAAAAGATATGTGATGATAGGATAATATTTCGTTTTCATATGTATATAAAGGAGTTAAATTTTGTGTCCATTTAAAGATGAAAAATATCAAAAGCACTCATTCTCACGAAAATTATCTCCCCACCCTCACACTCCTTATTATACGGTCATTAAGAGTCTCTGGTCGGTAAACATTATTAACAATTTTCAATTTCAAATAGAAAATGTTTAAATTCAAACTTTCCGTTTATAACAAAAAGTAAATTAAAAAAAAAAAAAAAAAAAAAACGAGAGCCTGTATATACATTATAAACAGGAGATTATAAGGCTATTTGTTTATGTGTATATTTTAGTACATGATGTTTTCAATAATCATTCTCACACTTTAGAGCCTAAATGATTGCGTACAATTGGTTGCAAGTGATTTCAAAGTTTTCTCTCGCGAACACTTAGGTTATGGAATAAGTTCCCAGCAGAGGTTATCTTTAGAGATTTCAGCATAGGTTTTTTCAAGAAGGTCGTATTAAGAATATTAAGTAATTAGAACTGATTTTAAAGCAACTTAAAAAAGAAGGAGGTTGCTATTTATTCCACTATATTTGTATTGTATTCATGTCTCCTTTCATGTTTCGCATTCATAAGGACTACGGAGTTGTCTCTATATCTCGTGATTTGACTTCCTTATCACATCCATCAAAACAAAAGGCACATCTACTTAGCTGTAGAAGCACGATAGATTACAACTTCTACAAATGGCTTTTTGACGTGTTTCTTAGGAAAAATTGGTCATTTTCAACTGACTTCAAAAAAGAAAAAGGTTTTCAATTTGGTTGTATTTCTTTTTATGTTTGTTTATCTTATGATTCCGTCATTTACAAACCGAATCAGAACATTATTCTTTATTATTTTATTTCCATCGAAATTTTATCAAAATCGGTTTAGTAGTTAATTTCTAAGTAAAAACAATTATTTTTGCTACGATTGAAGTTGGTTTTTTTTTTATGAATACGATCTTAAATTATCACGAATGTCATCCCTGAGTTTAATATATATAACTTTATGTGAGATTTGTTTTTTAATAATTTATATGTATATTGTTGCAGGTGAAAAAATTGAAGATTCAATGATGATAATGGTGATACTGAATGGAAGATTGACCATAATTTGATAACTGCATTCGAGTGTGTGGATAGAGTTGTTTTAAATTATCTAGCACCATTCGAATTCAGTGCTCGAATGTGGATGGCCAACGAAATATCAACACCAGAATATGAAGCAAAATCTTGTGCCTGCCAGCTATTTATGTTACGCTATCTTTGACAATTCTTATAAGAATATGGTGACATTTTAATTTATTTTATTGAATATTTTTAGTTTAATTATCTATAATTGCAGGTGGCGTGAGACCGTTAGACCGGCAGTCTATGAGGAAGGCGTATGTTCAGCAGTACTGTATAGTTCATGTTGATAATGATTTATAATAAAAAAAATATTGTATTATTTTGTTTTTTCCTTACGATCATAAGACACATTACACAATATCGAAGTGAAATGCGTTTGATAGTTATTACCTACTCCAATTTAACAAAAATTCAAATAATAATAAATTTATTATTCATTTATTTGGAATATTATTTTCATAAGTAAATATCAATATATTTATAAGAAGGGATAATTTTAAATGTCTGGGAAGAACGTGATCTGATTTCATAACTCGAATCACATATTTCTGTATTTAATACGTTCTTGTACTAAATCTAAGTCAGATGTACGGAATATTCTTCAGGTTTCGTTATTTGTTTATTACTTTTTTTGTAGGTGTCAATTCTATAATTTTGTTTTTCTTTTGTTTGTTCAATTTCAATTTAGTTTGTTCAACATTGCTTATTTTAATATACTCAGTTATTTTGTCAACAATGTATATTAAATATATAGCTAAATAAAGCCTATTATATATTACTTTAGTTTAGTCTTACTATTTTGGTCTGTAGGCCTCTGAAAGGTGTTTGTGATGGCAACCTGTGCAACACTTTTTATCAGGTGTTCTATAAAATAAGAATAGTTATATATATTTGGATTTTGTCTCATGAAAATCCTGCAAAATTGTTTTCATTGCTCGCTGTACTATTCTGGGTTGATAGTTTTGTAAAAATTATATCTTCATAGTAATAATTATAAATGTATAAATAGTTTGTCGGAGAAATTTTCTGTCTGTGAACAATAGTACGACACTATTAATTTTTATTGTCATTGTATTTTATTCAGGGCATAATTTAAGATTTTGTTTCACAAAAAACACCCGGTTTAATCGTAGAAAAACTAGTTATTTTGATTTAAAAACTAAATTACTGAACCGATTTTGATAAAATTTCTACCACGGCAATATAAAAATATATCCTTTTAGATAAATAAAGAATTTTCAAATCGGCTTATAAATGACGGAGTTATGAGGTAACAAACGCAGAAAAAATATAAAGAATTAAGAAACTCGTCCTAATGAGATAACATAGATAACATATAACATGTTTAGTTTTTATATAAATTGAGAATACGTCAGTTATTTCTATATCTGTGCTTACAACAAAGCTCAACAATTAATAACTCAAAATTTTAAATAAAACTAATAATAAATAAAAATAAAACAAATATTTTTGTTCATTTATATTTATGTATTTTCTTTCAGCGACATTTTATAACTATAGAGTGCATAAATAGGAAATTTTATTTACATTCATTTACATAACATATTTTATGTAGGTAGGTAATTAGGATTACGTTGGTTACATTAACCAAACTTATTATCATCTCGTTCATACAAAATAATATCTATAATGAAGAGGAAATGTTGAGATTTATTTTTACAATAATCAACAAAAATTACTAAGCTAATTTTGATAAAAATTGCAAGATATATCTCGAAATACTGTAGGTTACTATTTAAATTTCGAATTATTATTGTTTATCTTAATTTTTATAGAAGAGTGTTTATTAAGGAAATCTTTCTACCGAATGAAAAATACATTCTACATAGGTAGGTACTTAGTATTTCTTATGATTAATGGGAATATCTCAATTATGTAAGATGAGCGTTTATTGATAGTTTATTGTCAACAGTATGACAGTTCTAGCAAACAATTCATTATAATATAATAGCCTTTGACATAATTATCCAAGCCATTGTTCAATGTTGGCGATAAAAACTGCATGGAATTAAAACTTCTTCTTTATTACACTCACAAAACATTAAAGCATTGTTAAGCAAAATTATCAAATGGATTCATAATTGATTGCCGATCATTATCTGCATGAAAAGTAACTGAACTTCTTTGCAAGAATGTATAATATTTTAGCTGCAAGGTTTGGCTTGCTTTTCTCCTTAACAACAAAAAAAAAACACATACAGTCGAATACAGAACTTCTTCTATTTCTGAAGTCGATTAATAAAATATAATACCACTACACAGGACTTGTTAATTTCAATTAAAAATACAATAGACAAAGAATTTGTAAATACATCCCCTATCTAAAAGGCAAGGTAAATTAAAAGAAGCGATCAATACTTATATAGTAATAAAAGAGTCGTTGTTACATCGGCGAATTAAAAATAAATACAACTATTGTTTTTTTTTAATAAATTTGAATCTAATAATCTTATGCTTGTAATTAACAATTTTGAATAGACTTAAAGGTCTAAGAAGATATTTATTTCATATAAAATAATTGTTAATTTTCAATTGATTCTTTTTGTAATCTATAAAATTGATTAGATAGTATTGATTGGAAATTTATTGCAAAAAATATTTTAATGACATATTATATTTATTATAGTAACACGTGTTCTCTTCTTCTTGTCGCGTATTGGAATTTTTCTTCGTTTGCCAAACCAAGGTCATTTCATTCAACAATTTCTGTTGTAGTTTCACTGGACTATTTCAAATTCGTTGCATTTGAATATAACATTTGATCATTTCTCTCCTTCCTTAAAACGTATGTAATTAGTTTTCAGTTAATAATTTTATCACAACAAAACACAATTATCAATTAATTGTTCTCTAGACAGATAGACATACGAATTATTTATTAATTTTATATGAGACAAAAATAATAAAATAATGTTATTTATAAATAACATCCCACATAATATGTTTCGTTGGGCTTTCATTGTAACATTCGTACTCTCTCATACTTCTCCAAACATACATATTTTAAACATTACCTACTACAAACATATACATACGCAAAGTGTACACAAGGAACATAATCGTTAATAATTAATCTTATAGATAATCACCCATCATCTCTTCTTGTATTTAAAATACAGTGACTTTAATAATTATTATATTTACAATACATTATAAAATTATTAACCTATAGTGAATTGTGCAAAAGCGCTTACATTGAGGTAATACCTTACACTGTGTAACTGGTGACTACTAATTGACTATTAGCACTAAATTATATAGATATATTAAATTAAATACACCTTCAAAACTTATACCCAAAACCTAAGGTAACAGAATGTCATGGTTCGCAGATTTAATTGAAAATAATAAAAAAAAATGACATTCATCAGATGTCGTGCTGACAATAAAATATCTAATAGCTTCCTTTATGTTAAACAAGTGGGAATTTATTGATACTCCAGTTAGCATCATGAAAATGCCTCGTAAATTTTACAAGGCCGTAAACCGAACCACCCAGAGCCTTAACTACTCTTATTATATTACGACTCCGCTCCTCGAAATAATTTTCGTGGTTTGTTCTTTAGATTTCTCCCTCGATGCGTCAATGTTTATCTTGGAGGATTGTATTTTCTTCCACGTATCGCCAAGTGCTTTGCTGAAGTGATCGTCAACCACTCCTTTGCTCGACGTTTGTGTTTTCTCGCCATCTTTTGATCTGGACGTTTGTATCTGCCGCCACGTGTCACCGAGAGCTTTCTCAAAGTGGTCGTCAACCCAGAGACTAGCATCGTCTACTTCCATGGCTATTGTTTTAGTTGGTTTCGGGGGTTCCTCGGGTTTGAATTGGATTGGACTGCTCGCTCGGTCCTTGGTGTTTGGTTTTGGACCTGGCTGGACGTTCTCTCCGTTTTTCTTGAATAAGTTCATGTAGTCGTCTCCTAGTGATCGTCTAAAATGCTCGTCTATCACTGGATCACACATTGACATTGAACCTATGAAACAAAACCATTTTTATTCATGAGACTAGAAGCACTGAATTAATAAAAACTTAGCGTACTTAATTTACGTAATAACAAAACTCATTAAATGCAAAATAATAACGATTGAATCTAATTGAGGCTGGTCACGACACAGGCGACTTATCGAATAGAGATTACTATCAATTTACAAATGCGTATAATACGATTGAAACAATACTCGGTCTAGTATATCTTAAACCAATGTGTTAGTGACATTGGAATCTAAATATATAGGCATATTGATGTTGAGCAATTGAAAATTATGTAGATAATAAGCAGCTCAAACATGAAGTAGACAAAATATTGTATACTATATCATACCATCATCATGTCAACCCTCAATTGTCTATTGCTAAACATAGGCCATACTCTAGTCCAGAGGAGTAAGTAAGTAGCATACCCTTCTCCGTGAAAATATCTATATTAGTACGTGTTTAAATGTCCTAATTTTAATGATAATCGGGGAAACGATAACGAAGTTTATTAATTTCAAATAGATGTACCTACATCCATCTCTAAACAATAATTTTTAATGTTAGCTCATCGTCCTTTTCATTAATAACCCCTTAGCTTCCTGTATTTTTCATTATAACATCAAACTATGAATATTACTAATATCGAAATTCGCACTGTTCCTTTTAACATCCCGTTTGGTTTTCTCATTGTTAATGGGCAAGGTTACACTAGCCTTTTGCGAATAAAAAAAAAACAATTACCAAATGTATGTAATGTATCTATTCAAACCGGCTCTACCTATTTGGCTAACTATTTTTTTGTTGTTTATAATTAGGATAAGGCTTGTATAGAAAAAATGTATGGAAAATTGTACTGAAAAGTAAACAATTTGGGTAAAAAAAAATACATAAAAAGTGATCGAAAGAAGCAATAAGGTTTTATGAGACCAAATTTTCACTTTAGTCTTCATTAGTACACACATACGAAGCTGGAGCGAGCAGTTAATATAATTATATATACATCTCTGCAATCTACTTGTTAACTAATAGAAAACCAAATGCAGATTGATGACCGGGTGGTAATTGACTATCATGAATTGTACCTACATAATACACAGACAGGACAACGTCTCCTGGATTTTTCTAGTATTTTAAATTCATGTATTTCATTTGGATCTTACCTGGTGGAGTGTCATTACTTTTTGTGATGACAGATGGCCGGTTGTAAGGAGGAGGCGCAGGTCGCGCTCGCAGTCGCATATCGATAGGCGCTTCATATTTTCCACCAGGATATTCTGGTGGCGCTCCTGCAGACAAAAACAATAAAATAGTTAAAAATAAAATATAAATAAACGTACCTATGTGATAATTGATAAAATTATAAAAAAATCAAATATAATTTGTTTTGACAAATTCATGGTAACTGTAATAGTTTATTCTATACATGTAGACATTACAACATTGTTTTTAAATCAAAGATTATTTATTATTGCTAGACATCTAAGATTAAGACGAAACTAAAGACATATTCTACAAAAATGAAGTCATTTCAGCTAGGCGTTGTGGCCAAATCAGGATATACTCATAGATATATTATTATATACCTAACAATATTTCCCTTCTTTGTTTGACAAGGTATAAACGTAATATAAACCCGTGGTGTAATTTCCATGTATATTCAAAATGGACGACTTGTTTAAAATTGTTACAGTTCACGTCATTGTCGGGATCTGAGTGAAGTATCCTCTTCTATAACACTTGGCCCCCGTTAGTTAATTCAATTATAAAGTTGACTATAGTTACAGTTGAGAGTTACAAAACAGCTGGATACCTAACTATTATAGCATCCGTAAAAGAGGGTTCACTAGTTGGACCCAAGTTCAATTTCTATTGAGCCTACAATTTCAATTTAAATTAAGATAGGTATAATAATATAAAATAAATAGGTATTATAAATGTTTAAGTTTGTTAATATGATTGAATTTTTTAAATATGATTTTAGATATTAAGCTTGTTGGAAACTCCAACAAAAAATAATACTAGCATAAAAACTTTTTATTATATTTTTAATTACAAAAAGAAATAAATAAAATTGTCATAAATGGGAGAATAAAAAAAAATTATTCCTAATTATTTTTGGCCGTTTATATATTAAAATCCATATATCAAAATTGAGTACAATACAAAGCTGATAATAAACCAGCCTGTATTTCCTATATGAGATTGGCATTCGACCACCTTTCTTTCTCATGCGTTATTAGTATATTGATCTATTTAGGAGTCTATCATCACTTTAGCTCGCTGATTCTTTAGACATTACAGATATTACTACACTTACATAGTTCTTATCTCTCCAATATAGTTATCTCGAACTAAATATTTTTCATAGCTATTTAAGACTTATAGTTCTACTGCGATATTTGCATTATTGTTCCAATATAATTTACTTTTTATATATTTATCTTACTGACTTATTCACAAGTTTAATGTTTCAAATAATATACAGGGTTAAATGAACAGGCGGCTCACTAGATAGATTACAGGTGAATTGTCGACCTTTTAGGAAGGAGTATATGCTCTTATATATATGCTATAAATATACTATTTTCTTGAAGGTTTCATTGTATGTGTGGAAATACTCATGGTGAGAGTTGGTTTCATAGAGTAGTCGTGCATAGTAGCTAGTGTTTGAAGATGAATTTGAAGGACCTAAATTTCGAAAGACTTTTACCTTTTTCATTATAGCTTAAATTGGTGGGAGCATCGTCCACTTCATCTGAGAGCTCTCCGTCGCTATGTGGCTGTGCGCGCGCTACCGTTGCCACACAACGCCTTTCGTTGAATGACTGCGATCGTAGCGCCATCTTGCCATTTTCCCTGAAAAAAAAAACAAAGATAATTTAGTAAATATGTATAATAAAAAAAAATCTAAAATAAGTTATAAACATTGTTTTTACCCATTTTTTATGTAGATAGATATAATTATATATTTTACTTGAAATTGAACTTAAATCACGTGAGTTTTGCTATCTTTTTTAGCAGGTATGGATAATAATGGTAGGGGTCAGCTGTCTCGAGAGAAGCCAGTTACAGTGCTAAGCTAATCTAAATTTACAGTACATCGGATGGGTAAATTGCGTAAAAAACCAGAGCAAGTACACATGACAATACAAATTTTTTTCGTTAATTCCAAATTGGATTTATCCTTTATACGATGTCCTTTTTGGATAGGTACAGAGAGTAAAGGGCCTTTACCTTTATTATACTTACATACCTACGTCTTATTTGTGTAGAGATTTTCAATTATTTTCTTTCTTTTTCACTTTATTAAAAATCTTGGAAATAAGGCAAATCAATATATGACGTCGTTTTTTTAATCTTCATTCTGTGTATCTACGAGGAAGTAAATTCACTGCGATATCTAAAGTCTAAAAAGTGAGTGTATTTAGTTTTTACCTAGGTCTGTAGTCAGGCTGTCTCATTGACCTTCGCTCTCTGCGCCATTTGCCAGTCATTTCCTTGATTTGAGGAGTCCTGGGCGCTTCAGGTGAGAGAGTACGGTCACCCTCAGACTCGCCACTCGATGCAGTGCTCGGTGTCTCTGAAAATAGTAGTATATTGGTTATTAAACTATACACATAAATAAATAATAATACTGTTATGCATAATAATTAGATTGATAATTTTCACTCTGATATTGAAACAAGTGGTTTTCAATATAAAATTTTTAAGCTTGAGATTACATAGATACAAATAAAAAAATTACTAATATTTATATTCGTTTTAGTACTAATTCATTTTACTTTTAATGTCTACAATTTAAAATATTTGTAAAATACAGCCAGGTAAGATTGATTTATACATGACTTTGAAAAATCAACATAAACGGATATCAATGCATTATAATTATATTATCTACACTGTAATTAAATAAATTATTAATGCTTGGTAAGATATAATGTCTTAGCTCGAGGATTGGACAATTGATATGTACTGGTCATAATTGTTTTATCATAAAAGAGTGTTATAAAAACCAGACAAAGTTATTCATAACACTTTACGGTGACAGAACGCAAAATACAAGGCAAATGATCAGTGCATATTTTCGTAAAATTACTTATATAAATAAGTATGTACTTTCTGTAATATTTTCCTTGCCCACTTATTTTTATATTAATGCATCGTCAATCTAAATTAGTAAGCACCTATTTTGTCTAGAAGAAAATTATCTATGTACATATGCAGTAGCAATAATATATTAATAATTTCAGTTTTCATATTTCATTCAATGCATGTAATCACTAATAAATAATAAATTATTTTGACCGTTAACTGTATGCAACTTCTCCACATGTTTGGGACAAAAAGTGTCCTATGTCTTTCTTAATTTTACAGTAAAGTGACAATAGTGTCGATAGCAAAGTTTTAATTTAATATTAATACTAATAAGTAAAAAGTAAGTAAAGATTATTTTTTACACATGGTAATACTAATAGGTTTAACATCAAAAGCAAATTAAGAATCTAATTGAATAATTGTTGGCACAGAAACCTTCCGTTGATCCAGAAGACGGAGTGCTTGATTAATCCAATTTAGTATAAATTACACACGTGTATATGTGAACACTTGTACCTTGTCGCAATAACAAATTAATACTTTCTCTTAAAATGCTTACACTTGTCGATAATAGTATAATAACAAAGCATTAAAATGTCTTTAAATTAGATTGATTTATAAACATTATTATACAAAATTTATTGCCCCTTTACAGGATAAAATTCGTCGTCATTAGTATCAATGTATCACTGACGCAATCAGCTATCTACGAATCTCAATTATAAATAAAATAACTCGACATATCTACTTCTGTCTAATCCGTGCGTCGAACTTAAGACTTTGTCAATGTACTAGTATACGTAATTATTTAACTGGGCTACATTAGTCTAAGATTCTTTCCTATGAGATCATAATATACTACTAATACACTGAGGTTCCTTGCTAGGCATATACTTAGAACTAAACATAAGTGTATTTATACAACCGAATGATGTGAGTTAGGTATAATTATTTAGGTTTATTCACATATTTGTGTAATTATATATAAGAATTACAGTTACGTATGTATTTAAAATTTTATTGTTATTGTATATTTGTACGTGATTCGCATATAGATAGGTAGAAAAAAGATGTTGAAATATATATACATTCCGAGTATTATTCTGATCATAATACCACAAAATAAATTTCCACAAAATGGGTGTATTTATCTCTTCAGATATCTATATTACAATTATTGTTACGTTCAGGACTTCGTCTACGATATACATATTAAAGAATATTACGTACTAGAATTGTATGTACTTAATTTTATTATCATAAATCATCATAAGCAGTAAATACTGTAATATTTGTATGTAACAGTAGAACTCGTTTATATTAATATCATCTAAGATTTTTTGCATGTACTTAACGACCAAACATTAACAAAGAGCTCTATTCTCTATGCGATTTCATGCTATACAAGAATCAAGTCATATCATCATATATCATGATTCGCTTGACCGAAATCTAATAAAAATATATATCAGATATTGAATTAGACTAATATCTTTTGAATTATTAAATTATGATTTGTCTGTTTATCTATTTATTTAAAATATTTTAAATATATAGATAGATAACTTTAGCTAATTATCGTTAAACAAAAATTAAAGAAAGACTTTTAAACCCTAACGATGTTAATATACCTAGATATTATAGATTACTTAATTACCCATAATTAAATAAATATACCTTTTCCTGGCGAAGGAATCCATGGTTGCCATAAGGGCACATTGAATTTGGGCGATTGTGGTGGTTCCATTGTATCGAATTGCTGGCTACTTAACGAAGTCCGAGCCAAGAGTAGAAGGTAATGCGGTAGTTCCATCATCACTGTGCAAAGGCGACGTACGATGATAGAATAGACACAAATTTTATGTCCTATCACATTTTATATATCACAACAATAATAACTCTGCCACACATGTTCCAAAAACACAATTTCCAAAATATGAACTTCAAATTTTAGCAAGTGATCCAGGTAAATATAAGATGGAGTACCGGCGTCCCGACACAGGTAACACTGAAGGCCGACTGAATAAAAAATGAACTGGAAGAGATTACATTGGAATAAATAAATGAGATGAAGAACAAAAAACAAACCGAAAAGGAAAAAGAGCATCACGCTACATCCACGCGGCCGGACGTTGCGGCGCTTCCTTCGAACCTTACGGGTACAGCGTGTTATTAAATTTAGTCTAAGTGGATAAATTTTCCATATAAGTTTTCAATATGTATCTAAATTTGGTCCTTCAATGACAATAAGATAATATCTAAACCGAACAATTTGAATGTAAAATCAGACCGGATTTAGAATTTCCTCCAAATCCGAGGATATTTATACGAATACAATAAGATAAGATGCTACTTTGCGGTTCAGAATTCAAATTTGGAATAAATTTCTGCTAAACCATGTTAACACACTGAGGTTTTAATTCTAACCATTTTACAAATACGCTTTTCGATAGTTAACGATCGATTTGATATTTACTTTATCACATTCCAAATGACTGTTTATTATGTCAATATTGAATTTGCAACAGCGTACAAAAGGATAATAGATGATATATCAATACCACCATACACTGTCCTGATTAATTGATGTACAGAGCACTTACGAGTTACATATTAATAGGAACATTATGGAAATTATTGAAAATACACTAAACAAAGTTGAAAGATATTTATAGAAACGATTCAGTACACTAAAAGTATGCTTTCAATTTTAGAAATATTTTGAACTTGAGTTCACAACCGATTTCTTACACAAAGATGTGATAAATGACAATGAAAATATAACATCTTTGATCTTTGCCCTCTGTCTGTAAAAAACAAAGGAAATGATGACATCACATCATTTTGAAGTCAGTAAGACATGGTCATATCAAAGAAAAACATTGTTTTCATTACTGACCTGATTTTCCTGAGTACTTTATTCATAAATGCATGACCGAATACGTATTTTGTTTGTCAGTCGCTTGATCCGAATTGTTCAATATAAAACATACTTATATTGTATTTGATAACATTATTGTTTCGTAAATTCAGATAAAAGTAATATGTATATATTCAATATCACAAAAAGATTATAATGACTATTTTGGACATTGCGATAATTTACTTAATGCATATTTTATAAAGTAGTATATCAACAGACACTGTATGCTAGAATATAACAGCCTGTATTTAGTATACATCAACCTGTTCGGTCCATTCATGAAAGTGCGTGAGCGCAGGGCGCGGGGATTAATGAACCCCCGCACTCTTCTCCCTTCTTACATCTATAGAACCTTCAACCAACTGAATGTAGGCCGTATACAGTAGTCAATAAGGCTTTAAATTATTTTCTCGAAACTAAGCAGCGATAAAAAAATGAATTGAATTCTGTTGCTTGTAGTATAGAGCCCATAATCGTTAAAAAGTATAAGAGATTGAACATTACGGTGGTTGTATCCTTGGAAGGTTGTGTTTTATTTTTGTGCGGTCAGGTGAGGGGTAAGGGAGTCGATGTGGAGCTGTGAGAAGTTGCCGCGCTTCTCTGTTGTAGGACCGTATAAGCATTAGCTTTTTTATTGTCTAATAGAGCGATGTAAAGGCTCACCGACAGGTTATGCTTTGGCGCCATTGCTTTAATTAAGTCTGGATGGTTCGCCGAAAAGAAATGAGAAATTAATAACAGAATCGAACAAGTCATTAGTGGTAGCATGACTAGTGGATTCAATTTAATAATCTCGCTCTACTGAGAATTAAACACATCACATTTTTATAACATTTCTTCTTATTTTTAAATATCAAAACTTATATTAAATTATAATAATGGTAAGTATTTTATTATTAAAGATATCATTGTCAACATTGTTCGTCTTGTAAAACAGTTCTACTAGAAATACCGCAAAGGAATATTTTCTAAACCACTCAACAGAGTATAATTAAACAGGCGTTTGTTGCTCTATTTTTTTTCTGTGTTTTATTTTATTTTTGCTGGCGCTCCATTGAAGCGGAGCGCCACGGTTATAGTCACGGGCTCCATTTAAGTACCTACGTATCTTTGTGGAGTTATGGACAATCGTATTGGAAGTGGGACAATTTTTTTGCTACTATTTGTCTTCAAGAGATAAGATTAATTTAGAATATTTAATGATTTATTTAATGAAGAAAACTGTTAATAATGTATGTGTTATAACAACATTCTACTACGATGTTATTCTTAGGACATGTTTAGAATAAAATTAATAATACCTAACTGAAAATGGTAGTAACTGCTTAAAGTTACAATACTCTTTTTATTGCAACTTAGAATGGCACACAAGTTAACGGCCCATTGGATGGAAAGTGATAACTATCGCCTTTAAATATGAACATTACGTAACAGAGTATACTGTGTCGCCCGTGACACCCTTCATGCAATGCCATTTCTGGGGATTTAAATATTATACTTCTGTACATCAGATCATACCTCTGTAGCCACATGCTTATTAAATTTAAAAGAGGTTATTTTCT